GCCCTCCCGAGAGGGCGCCCTCCCCTCGCCAGCGCGTCCGTCCGCGAGGCCCTAGCGCCTCCCGATACGCAGAAAGGCCGCTGCCCTCCTCGGAGCCAAGGCGGCCCAGCCGGCTGGAGGCCCCGTGTGTCCCGTGCACACGACTGGCCCTGGACCTAGTCTCCTTCTCCCTCCCGCCCCTCTCCCCCCGAGCCAGGAATCTTCCTCTCCACAACCCATCTCAGACCTCAGAGCCAACCGCCATCACTTTCCCCTAACCCCTCCTCCCCCTCCTCGACTCATGCCCGTTCAGCTGGAACCCCGACGTTTCTGGGGGCTTTCATTGACCTGCAGGCTTGACCAGAGATGTCTGGTGGTCCGTGTTTTGGTTTGAACTTTGTTCACCGCTCTGGGGTTGCTGAGGCTGGGTATCCCTTGGCCCCTGACCTGATGGGCCGGTCTGGAAGCCCCGCTCCCTCTCACAGCCCTGCTGCAGCCACTGCAGGATTCAAGCCACAGACCACGGAGGCGCAGACCCTCCTCGCTGCCGGGTGACCTCGCCCAGCGGGGGGTGCATGTCAATTGGCCAAGGAGGGGGTCAAAGGCCAAGGCAGACAGGCCAGATCTGGCTGCCTACCTTTTCCACATCCCTATGTGTGCGTGTGTATGTGTGTGTGTGTTTGTGTTTGGGGTGGGGGCGGTGGGAATGAGGGGAACAGAGAAAAGAAAAGCAGGGATCTGTGCTGGGTGTGGGAAGGACACGGCACTGAGTCAGGAGGACCCGTTATAGGACTGACATGGCCCCTAACATCCTGGGGTATCTCATCTCCGGGGTCAAAATGGGGCCCTGCCTGCCCCCTGGTTTGTGAATGCATGAGAATGGGGGCGGGGCGGGGTGCCACAGGGCACTCAGTTTCTGGGTCCTCAGCTCTGACTTTGACAACTGCAGATGGAGATGAAAATTGCCTTGGGTCTTGGATGGATTGTAATGCAAGCTGGGAACAGGGCTAGGGACAGAAGGAAAACTGAACTGTGGCCCTGCATGTTCGATTCCTCAGTTTCCCCACAAGGACTGCCTTTTCTGCCACTTAACAGCACCTTTGCTGTGGAGATGCAGGCTGCCCCAGTTGGGGGGACCCCTGGGCAGGATCACCAAAGGGTGACCATCACCGTCCTTCTGTGCCCTTGGCCTTGCTGGCGTGTGGCACCTTTCCGAGCATGGTGGCCTTTCAGCCGAGTCCCCACCCCCCTTTGCAGGGAAGCGGGTTCCTTCCCTGGCGTGGGCGGCAGACGCTGGCTGCTCCGCTTTCCCTCTCTGGCTCCACAAGTCTCTCCCAGTTGCCTGCTCTGGTTCCTTCAACTTCCAAAGATAAATAAATAGTGATTGCAAATGGAGGCGGGGAGAAGGGGACTGGCCTCCCACAGCAGGAGCCTGAAGCAGGGCAGGCCGCAGGGGCTGGGCCTGCATTCCCAGGAAGGGGTGTCACAGAGCCACGGCCCACAGGCAGGTCTGCCACCCGGCCCTCCTGCTCACAGGCCGGGGGCTTCTCAGAGACAAGAGCAGAGGAGGCCTCTGGCTTGGGTTACCCAGCTTTTCTGTCATTCCTTTTTTGCAAAAGGAAGACACTTTAAATCCAGAAAGGAATTCCATTTAAACACCCGCTGTCTGAGGCTGAATTGAAGCCAAATGACATTTAATGAGGCGATGCTTGTCTACAGGTAAGAATGAGGTATGAGGTGGAGACATTGACAAAACCCTGTCCCATCCTGTTGATCATCACTTTTGGCCTCTATCCCACCCAGGAAGGTGAGTGGGGTTACTTCCCCGTTTTATAAGTAGGGATGACAAGAACGAATCATTGAGTGGTAAAGAGCCAGGGGTGGGAACTCACCCTCCAATTCGTCTCTAAATGCTCTTTTCTCCTGAGCAACTCCAAGCTTCACCCATACAAAGCTTCCTGGTTATCAGTCCTCAGAGGCGCGGGGTGGAATGGTTGAGTTGCCTCCACGAGATCTTTTTGTTTTGAAGTTTGTCTGAGATAGAAGGATGACTCAAATTTATTTCCCAACCTCAGGGTATCTGGTTAGGAAGCTTCACCCTGATAGCGTGTGATCAGCTCTTACTACAGTAGGGATAAGGCACCGTGGTTAATAGGGACTGAATAATCCTGATTGAAGCGAGGTGGGGGCGCTTACCAAAAGTGTAGTTCAATCTAGGGCAGAAGCGTAACCACCTGATTCTCCTAGACCATGATTATCCCCTTGCGAGGCTGGGGTTTCACATCCTCTATGCCCCTCGCTAAAGCAGCCTGCCTTTGCCAGGTGCTGGCTGCTAGTCAACCTCTCTCTTACCTCCAACCTCAAAGCCCATTCCCCTTTGTCAAGGAGTATTTGGGGTCTCTTTCTTACCCTGTGCTCGACCAGACCCTCCGCTCCGGGGGGCAGCTGAGAGTGGAAGATGGGGTCAAGGTCACTGTCCCCGCCCTCTGGTTACCAGAGTGAGCACAGGAGAGTGTGCACATCAGGACAGCCAGTATCTACTGAGTGCTTGTTGTGTGCTGGGCATGTGTGACTACATATTACAAGAATTAGCTCATTTTGTCCTCATAACAGGGTGAGGATGCCTGTTTTAATAGACAGGGAATTGAGGGGAAGAGGCATCTTCATAGTAACTTGCCCAAGGATACACAGCTCAAAAAATTTGAAGCAGGCGCTCCAGACTCCAGAGTTCAAAGTTTTAACTGCCACGCTTTATAGTTTCCAGGGGAGGAGAGGGCTTTCAACAATTACCCCAAGAAATTCCCTTACCTCCCCTTGAGGCCCCATGGATTTGGGGAGACAGAGCATTGCACGCAGAGGCCACAGCACGTGGAAGCAAAGTGGGAGAGCGGTGGCTGTGTTCAGTCCAGGGAGGGTTAGGGACCAGCATGGCTGGAGCGCAGTGAGCCGGGGGGAGACAAGAGGAGTGGTCACGGGGCCTCTGACCTCATCACGTGGGGTACTGCGGGCCACGGGCAGGACTTCGGATTTTATTCTCAATGAGAACAGAAGCCTAGGGGGTTTGAAAAGGGAATGATCTGATCTGAATTCGCCTTTTAAATCTCCTCCCTGACGACCCCAGTGGGAGGAGCACAGGGAGGACACCAGTCCAGTGGCCACGTTGTGGCATCTCGGATGAGGGAGGCGGTGGGGGAGGCGAAGGGAGGCTGGACCTGGGAGCTGGGCGGGCGGAGCCTGAGTCCCATGGGATCCCTGAAACAACCAGAGGGGAGTGAGAAAAATGTGTCCAGAGCCACCCCTAGGTGTCTGGCTTAGGCTGAGAGTGGCATCACCTTTTGCTAAGCTGGAGAAGACTCAGGAAGGGTGTGATTTGGGGAAAGAATCAAGAGTCTGGCCCACTGCGATGCTCGGAGCTGGGGACCCAGCTTTCTGCCGTCGCGGGGTTGGCAGTCCAGGAGGAGGGGCCGGGATGGCACAAACCAGGACACAGATGAGTCTATAACGACACTTTGTGCTGCACGTTGTGAAGGGAAGACGGCCATTTTAGAGAGAGTAATGGGGGTGGGCAGCACTCGGTTTCCACTGGGGATCAATTGGGAGAGGAAGTAAGGGCTAAGCTGTTGGAGGATAAGCAGCCTGGCCAGGCCAGGAGGGAGGCCGGGAGCTTCCCTCCCTCTGTGCAGGGAGGAGCCTGAACACAGGACGGACCCCAGCTGTCGGAGGGAGTAAGGGAGAGGGTGGGAGGGTGCACCCTCCCCTCCCAGCTCCAGACTCTCCCCGGCCAGCCCTTAGGCCCCTCTGAGCTCAGGGACAATGCGCACCTCTCTTGTCTCGGGTCTCCCAGTTGGATCAGGACCCAGGAGGCCTCTTGCCAGGTCTTTCTGGTGGCCGAGGCGCCTAGCTTCCCACCTGGTCCTAAGGCTCCTTAGGGTCTATGCCCTGTTCTAGGAAACCGCCCACCCCTCCATCCAGGGGCTGTTCCACCTACAGCCTTTCCTCCCCAGAGGCAGCCGAGAGGCTGAGGCCCAGTTGCAGGCCAGCACCCCTCTCCCTGAGCCCCACTGGGGTCAGAGTATTTGGGCCTGGGACAGAAGAGAAGCAGGAAGCAGTTCTGGCCAAAAGAAGGGTGTGTGTGTGTGTGTGTGTGTGTGTGTGTGTGGCTGGGGGTGGGCTGGGGGGAGGGGGCAGTGGAGGGGAGAGATGGTGGCGGGATACCAGCATTTTACGCAGGTGTGTGGGCGTGTAGCTTCAAGGTTGTAGAAAAGAAAATACGGGCAAGAACAGGGTGCCATTTATCGAGGCCCTTGGGCACTGAGCACTCTGTGTGTAGTGTTTTTCTTCTACCCTCACCACTGCCCCAGATGTCTGTGTACTTCTCTCTCACCGATGAGGACGTTGGCACTCAGGTTAAGTAACGTGTGTGTGTGCACGTGAGTGTGTGTGTGAGTGCGTGGCTGGGAGGGCTCTCTCGGCCTCCCTCCCTTCTGCGCTATAACAGGGGTGCTCAGTGGAGCAGCTGGGTGGCCCCAGCTCTCCGGACACCCTCCCACTCCACCTGCCGTCTTGCGCTGTGGTGGGCCAGTCAGCCAGGTGCCCCTCTCTGATCTCCCTGACCCCCCTGACCCAGGGCCGAGGAGCACTCCTGGGCCCCTCCCACCCCGGGGAGGCCTGAAGCAGCACTGAAGATGACAAGAGGAGCAAAAAAGCCGGTGGAGGAAGTTGTGGGAGTTATTCTGGGCAGGTGGAGAGATGGAGGGCGATCTAGACTAGCCTGCAGGGTTTGGGGTCACCCCCGGGGTGCTGGGCTGGGGTGGGGAAGGGCTGTCCCTCTGCAAAGTGTGCAGCAGGGAACCCGAGGTTGAGGCCGACCTCACAGGTTTGTCTAGAGCTAAGCCAGCCCCCAGCTCTCACCACTATTTACAAAAATTATTTTTATCAAAGGAATACCGCATATGGTGAAAAAATGAAATAGCGTGGAAGAATTTATGATGAAAAGCCACAGCCTCCTTCCAGTCCTGCTGGCAGAGGCGGCTGTTACCCAGTCCTGCTTTTAGAAACAGGACACTACTCTTTGTAGAAACAGCCCCGGAAGGAGGCCTCGGACCTGAGGGAGCGTCCCTGCCTGGGAGTGGGTTTGCAAATCCAGCTTTCAAGAGCTTCCCCTCCCGGTGGCTCTCCTGAGATGCTCAAGCCTGATTCTCTGGTCACTGTCGCTGTCTCTGGGTACCACCATCCTGTTCCCATGGGTCACTACCCACCGCCTGGAGTGGATGGGCAGCCCCTCCAGTCACGGGAGGTTGAGGGAGCCTCAGAGAAACGCTCTCACAGCTGAGGCCGAGCAGTGGCCTGGCAGGGTGGATTTCTGATTTGCTGGAAAAGTCTGTCTTTGTCTGGAACCCAGACCCCTGGTGGCAGCTGTCCTGCTGATGCCTGTCTGGCCGGGGGCTCTCTCTGCTTCTTTTCCCTTCTCTCTGCTTTTCCTTCCCCTTCTCCTACCCTCTTTGAGCATCCCCCTCTCCCTCTCTCCATCTCTCTTTGGATGGTCAAGGTCAGGCTTCTGTGCAAGAGGTGGGCTCTAGTCCCTAAGACCTGTTGGGCTGCCTTTGGGCCCTGGGAGGCCATGGAGCTGGAGGGGAGGCTGGGAGAAGCGCAGCAGAGGGGCCCTGGCTCTGGGCCTCCCGGCCCGGGGCTGCACTTGGAGAGGGAGGGTGTGTCCCTGGAGTCTTGACGCCCAGGGTGTGTGAGCCAGTGTCTAGTTTTGGTTTCACTCTGGGCTGATTTTGCTGTTTTTACGCCCCAGTCTCAAGCTAGGTTTTTAGTTTCAAGCTAGGGGGACCAGAAGAGGAGGCCTGGGTGTCCATGTTCGGCCAGCGTGTGAAGGGGCAGCTGGCTTTTCCCCCGCCCCACGTCCAGCCTCCTCCTGTCAGCTGTACCTGGTGAGAGACCCCGGAGCTTGTCAGACACTGAGAGCTCTAATCACCTCTTGGAGGGTTCCCTTCCTCCTCGGCCTCCTCCGGGAATCATGTTTCGTTTATGAAGGCAGACAGTCCTTATCTGCTCCATCCGTCAGAGCTCCGCCCCATTCCTCCATGGAGATTCAAACTGACCGCAAAGCCCAGGCTGCCGGGTCCAGCCCGCGGTCACTAACGGTCCTGAGTGTTCCCTGTGTGCTGGTTCCGTGCACACTTCACGTGCTGTACCTCGTTTAAATGTCACAAGGACCCCGTGACACAGATGCTCTCAGCATCACCCCTATTTACAGATGAGGGAACCAAGGCAGGGAACTGCTGTCAGATCCTGGAGCAAGCCTCACAGCTGTGTGTGCGTGTGTGTGCGAGTGTGTGTGAGTGCGTGCGCGCGCACAGCTCCCTGACCTCAGCGCAGTCCCTCTCCATCTATTTCTACAGCTCCTCTCCCTGCGAGTATGTTCCCCAACCCACTGCACAAAGTCCTTTTGATGCCTGGGTTCCCTGAAGTGGACACAGTGAGAGGCCTGTTCCCCGTTCCCCACCCCCGGCCCCCGCGAGGCCCTGGGCCTCAATCTCTCAGTGCCAAACGGCACAGCGGCTGCCAAAGGGGACCTGGGCCTTGCAGGTGAGCAAAGCCTGGCCGGGTACAGCCCACACCGCGGCCAGGGAGCCTGCCTGCTCAGCTTAGGAGACAGGCCGGTGATCCATCACCCAGGCACACACGGCCGGCTGTGAGCCCGGGGAGAGGAGGAAGGTGGCTCTCCTGTGGACCTTCTGGTCACAAACCTGGAAATGGGAAGAGGGCCACACCCAGGCCACATCATCTTCCCGCTAGTGGGGCTGCCCTGTACCAACAGCGCCCGCCCCCGAGGTCCCGCACTGACAGCAAACTCCCACCCGCTGACGGGCACAGCAGTAAAGGAAGGACACCTGGAGCCCTCAGGTTCGGGGTCCTTCCTGTCACCAGTGGTTTGTGCGGGAAGAGTGATGAGGGGGATCACAGGGAAAGACAGAAATAGGACGCAGAGAGGAGAAAAGGGAGAGGCTGAGACAGCTGCGCTCCCCCAGAAGCCAGGGAGAGACACCCCTCTTTCTCCCGCAGAGGAGATGCTCCCGCTTCGGAAATAAGTAGGAGGCAGGGAGGCTGAGGCAGAGGGTGAGATCAGGCTGGCTGGGGCTTCAGACCCCAAACAGCTGCTGTCTGGGCATGAAGGTGTCTGTGGGGAGCTCTGGGGGCCGGGTGGCAGCCACTGGAGCCTGTGGCCCAGCTGGTACCCCCTCCCCAGGGCCCCTGGCCCAGCTGAGGGGTGCCGCGGGCAGAGCTGACCTGCCTTTATCTTCCTCACACATTGAAACCATCAGGCCCGGCCCCGTGAGCAGCGCGCTGAGCTCTGTCAACTAGACACACTGTGCTTTTCATCCAAACCAGACCTTCCCTCCTTCAGGCCCCCACTCAGGGGAGAGGGGGGCAGAGAGCACAGCCCTGGAGCCAATTTCAGAACTTTTTAAACGCCTGTCCCCTATTCTGCTCTCCTCTCTGAAATGTTCACCAGGCCACCTTCCACTCTGGGCCCCGCCCTCCACCCTCATCCTCCAGAGGGCTTTTTAGCTGCTGCTGCAGAATTGGAGTTCGGGGGGCCCCAAAGTACGGAGCTGCTCCATCAGAGCAGAGAGGACGCCTCTGTACCTCTCGTTCTGGGGAAGCCAAATCAAAGGCAAACCCTGAATTCCTCTTGCTCCCGGCCAATAAAAACCTTGCTTTGGTGCCGGCTTCCTCTGCTGAAATCAGATATCCTGGCAATAAACAAGTCGGAAAGGCAGGGAAAGGCTCTTACTTTTTTCTTCTGATGAGTTTTGCTTCCTTTCAAAAAAGCTCTCTCCTATAACAAAGAGCAGAACTGCGCCCTCTCCCGCCCTGCACCCTGACTCCAGAATCCTAACCCCCTGGGGCTCCTGCAGGCAAGGGTGGGGCCTGGCCTCTGGAACACTTGATGGCTTTGCTTAAAGGCGGGTGGAGGAGAACAGGCTTACAGTGAGGGCTGGGCTCTCAGCCTGTGGCTGCTGGGGGCCGTCAGAAAACGGGGAGTGGAGTTAGGACAAACTGGGATCACTTTTTTCTAAGATCATCCTTCTGAAGTCCCCTCAGTGCACCGCAGGCTGTAAAAGGCCCAGTGACCTTGGGGTTTTGTGTTGAGAGCACAGTTGGGAAAGCCGGACAAGTTGGATCTCGCGGCCTCAGAGGGGCTGGGAGGGCAGAGGAGCTGGGGTTCTGCTTCCTCGCCTGGCTCCCCAGTCACCTCCCCGGCTCCCCCTCCTGTCCCTGTCCGGTCCTGGGGTAAGTGGTCCTCCTACGTGGCCTGCTGGGAGGAGTGCTCTCCCCAACGTGCAGACATTGCTCCCTCCCACCCCCATCCCCAAAATAGGTTTTTAAGTGACTTTGCTGTCAGAGATGCTATTCTGTTTGTTTTTCCTTTTGACACTATCTCTCCGGAGAGTATCTGGTCAAGAGAATTATGTCGAGCCTGCAGATTGCAAGAGAATTGCGCCTAATGGGGAACAGACAGACAAGACACCTTTCATGTCCGGCCAAGTTTTTTTTTCACCCCTCCTCTTTCTCCCTCTCCCAACTTCTCATCTTCCCTTTTTGGCTTCAAAGTTGGCCCTAGTCTGTGCTAGTTTCTTCGGTACAGCTGGTGAATAAGGTCACACATTGATTTTATTTTGGAGATTGGCAGCTGGGTCAAGCTTAGCTCTGCTGGCGTGTGGGTGGGGGGAACACCAGCAGGAACGTGGCCAGCCGGCGGAAAGAACCTCCGAGAAGGCGATTGGGACTCAGAGGGTGGCTTCTACTCCTTCATGAGCTCAAAGCTCAGGAAACTTGAGCTTGTAAAATTCATTTTAAATCCAAAGAAGGTGCCGAAATTACCTCCCACCTCTGTCTCCACTTCGAACCATTTCAGCTCCTCTCTGCTGGACTTCAGAGGAAAGAGAGCGTTAGCTCTGAGGTCCCTTGAGACCTCGATGTGATCACAGGAGAGAAACAAGTTTTAGGGCCCTTGACCTTGTAAGTAGCTACTCAACCTCACGCAGCCTGAGCATATACATACTGGGTGCCAACTGGGTGCAACTGGGTGTTGTTGATGCAAACTGGGTGGAAAGAAAAGCCCCTTTCTTTACCTATGTGCTTCTTGGAATGGGGGATGCAGATTAGTAAAGCGTCCTGGTGGACAGCTGGATTCTTTCACCCTTAGTCACGAGGCTGATGTAATAGCATTCAACTGATTTCATGGTAAAGACAGTCAGTTCCCAGAGCAAATCATTTCAAGTGCACCACTGCACATCCACGCTAATCGCAGCCCTTCAGGAACTGGTGGGTGAGTCCTTCCTCCTGAATTCAGTGCTTCTATGGGAAGACCAGGGCCACCTTGTCTGAAGGACAAGGATGTCCTGGATTTTCAGAATGTCCCATTTGGTCTCCTTCCTCCTTGCCCAGCCTTGGGGAACAGACTTCACCGGCTATCTAGCTCTGGGGACAGGAGGGAACAGTTCTGCTGGCTCTGAGGACTGCAGCCTAGGGCATCGTTTGAGTCTGTGTTAGGGAAGGCAAGGGGAAGGTGGATTCCACTCTGGCTGGGTTTAATTCTCTCCTTCCTCCTCATCCTTTCTGCTTGTAGTTTCCAAGTTTGTTCCGCCTGAAGATGTATCAGTTCTCCACAATGACTACAGGCTGAAAACATACATTTCTTTTACCGTAATAAGGCTCTCTTAAATTAAGCTTATAAATCTAAGGCTCTCTTAAATTAAGCTTATAAATCTAAGAATGCTTACTAATTATTAAAGCCTGAGACAACAAAAGATACCAGTGTGGTGTGGGGACCAAGCTCTGGACCAGGAATCAAAGGTCTTGAACTTATTTCTTGTCCTGCCACCAACCGACTCTGACCTCAGGCAAGGAGCGCACTGAACCTTCTCTGGGCCTCAGGGCCCCGTCCACAAAGGGACGCTGCCCAGTAGCCTAAATCACTCTACCAGCTGCTACGAGGGTAAAATGAGATGTCACAGGGGATGGTGATTTAGGGGCTGTGCACTGGTCTGACCCGGGATGGTGTGCTGTTGTCACTCAGGAAACTCGCTGGGGATACTGTCACGGCCTTGATGAAGATCTGGGGGTACTCACGCCCGGTCCGTGTGACAAAAGAGAAACTCAGATAAACAACAAGGACCTACTGTATAGCACAGGGAACTATATTCAATATCTTGTAATAACCTATAACGAAAAAGAATATGAAAAGGAATATATATATGTATATGTGTGTAACTGAATCACTATGCTGTACACCAGAAATTAACACATTGCAAACTCACTACACTTCCAAAAAAAAAAGGCCAAGTTACAATTTTGCTCGGTTTTCTTTCTGCCAAAGGTCCCTCCAGCCTGCAGCCGGCACATGGGACCGACGTACTTTGGCCTCCCTTCCTGATCTGGGTTTGAGTCAGCCTCCTGGGTCTCTCCGCCTTCTTGGCTTTCGATGTCCAGGCACGAGCCAGACAGCTCTCGGTTGCTAAGACGAGATCATTTTCTCCCAAAAGGTTCCACAGCCAATCTCAGAACCCTCAGCCAAGTTTGCAAAGAAATGAGGTGTGTGAGAGAACCTCGTGGCTCTGTGAGAATCAGCTGTATCACCTGGGAAACACTGCGTCCTCTCCAGCCTGCTTCTGCCTTAAGAGAAAGGGGTGGAGCCTCTTCCGAGGTAATTCGCAGACGGGGAGCGCCAGCTCTCGCCCCGAGTTAGCCAATGCTGCCATCTAGCGGCGATTTAAAAGAGTTCCTCGCAGCAAGGGATAACCTTTTCGTTTTGTAATTCCTGAAATGCCAACACTTCATTGTCTTGCACTCAAAACGCAGAATCCCTCTTTCGTCCACGGCGTGGCTTTGGATGCATCTGTGACCCGAGGGAAGCCCTTCTCCAAAGGCAGCTGGTTCGATGCCAGTGACGCGGCAGCTTCCTGTGGCTCCCCACTTCCCCCTCTATACTCACTCACTCCACCAGATCACAGAAAATAAATCTTTTACTTGCTTTGCAATTGGCACAGATGGCATCATTCAAACTCACATTTTTATTTAATAGGCTCTGAAATATCGCACTGCAGCTCTGACTGAAACAGTCCAGGAATCGTCACGGGTTAGGTTTTACAAAATTACATTCAGCAGCAGCATTGTGTTCTGGAAGTTATTTCATAAAATTAAAGCCTGGGGGTTGAATAAATAAGAAAACCTCATCTAGAAAACAAACAACGACCCAGACTAAAGTCATCTGTTGTGACTGAGAATCGCGCTTTCTGGTTTTTGAAGAGCTTGCTACTCAATTTAACAATCAGAAAGAGTTGCAAAATTCTGGCTTATAAATCTGGTCAGGAGAGGAGGCTATAAATGTGCCTAAAAAGTGCTCCTCAGGAACAGGGACCTCAAAGCCAGGCCTTGTTGAAACTGTGACCCCGAACTGGCTTTGAAGGACTCTTTCATTTCCGGGATTCACTGGTCTTTGATAAGAGGCCGCTGTAACGGGAACTGCGGTGGAGGAGAAAGCGCATCACTCAATTCTCATCACTATCAGGACCAGGGAGAAAAGCTCAAAGTCCTGTCTCTTGAGCAGGAGGTCAGAAAGGCCCAAAGCCCGCTTGTGTTAGCTGCCCTGTAATTTTCAGGGTCCACACCACAGGGTGGCCGATGACACAAGTCTCATCAGTACAATGTGGGTTTGGAGGATTAACTTCAGGCACTTCCTGAAGTTACCTGTACTGCTATTCCGCAGTAGAGATGTTCACTGGGTGGGGTGGAACCTGGGGGCTGAAACCGCATTGCTGTTATGTCTACTTCACGGGGGTTCGTATGGACTTGCTAACAGGGCATTTCCTGTTAAAGTGCATGACAGATTCCCACCCCTCTGACTCTGGGAGGGTTATAGGCATCCGTCATGGAGTTTGAACCTGGGAAAGGCATTCGTGGGTTGGGTGGTGCCTCTGGGCAGAGTTCAAGGCTGAACTCAACTCCTGGCTGCGGATCTGGTATCCGTTCTGCAGACACGTCTGGATTTCTCAAATCCAATCCATAGCCACCACTTGAAGCAAGCTTCCCGAGTCAGACACTCAGTGAGATGGTTTCCATCAACGCACACAGTCCACACAGTCGTCAGTGTGCTCTCTCCAGGTGGCCAGGAGGGTGTGGCTGTGCTGTAACGTAGGGGACATCGACCATCGATGTGAAACCCGGGTGAGTGCATAGCTTGCCTCTGTGGACCCAGCCCACGGGCTGAGCCCCGCTCAAGGCGTGTGCGCCGGGGCCTTTAGCTCTGCTGTGGGCTTGTCCAGGGTGGCTTTCTTTGAGTAATCTCGCTCTCCAAAAATGGTGCTTCCTATGCGGACATTCGTAGATCCTACTTCGATCTGTGGAAATGAGTACCGAGGGCTGAGTTGAGAAGACTGAAATGCAGCAGATGCCTCATTCAAGAGGCTTCTGGAAGAAGAATGATGACGCAGCAAGGACGAGGGCGCACTGGTTCTCCCTGGGGGCAGTACGACCCCTGACATGGTGTGTAAGAAATAAGCAAGGATTTCTTTGGCTTTCGCAGGGACTGGGGACTGTGACTGGCACTTAGTAGGGAGGGGACAGGGACAGCAGACGGGGACAGAGTTGCACCACGAGGAGCTGTCTTCCAGCCCACTCCTTTTCTCATGAGTCGTGGCCACGTAGATGGAAAAACCTCCTCGTAATTGAGCACTGATTTAATACATTTAATACATCCTCCTATTCCAGAGTAGGGACCAGTGTTTACTGGGTGGAGTGCAAACTAGGGGCTGAGACCACCTCTGTATACCCAGAGGGAAGTTTAAACTCTGACCTGGGGGACTTTATCAAGTTATTTAGTGCTCCGGGAGACTGGATTTGCGCTGCCGACACGGCACACCTACATCAGTATATATTTGCAGCTGCTGCCTTCACGGTGAACCTACACGAGCCTTCAAGCACCAGCAGACTTCATCGTGACTGACTGACACATAACCAAACCCAAGCATGTACATCGTGACGTGTCCTTTAAAAAACTGTCGTTTAATTTCTTCTTATTTTCCTTTAGATTCCACTGTGTTTTAAAAAATTATGTGTCAGGCTAGAATTTCTATACATTTTCATTTCAAAAGAGAAGGGGCTGGGGGACATTAGAGTCGGGGATGGGGAACCATAGCTACTGGGCGCCCTGTTGCTATAGTGAGGCATTTCAGAGGTTTCTCCAGCGAAAACGGATTCTTGCTGTGGCCTTTGGGACCCGACGCTGAGGCCCCCGCGGGCGCCCAGGAGGAACTTACCGCGTGCTGGAAGTCGGCGGACATGCCCATGCTCAGCTCAACCTGGTCAGCAGGGATGCTCAGCCTTCCACACAGCTCCTCCCGGAGGGACAGTAACACCTGCCAGAAAGACAAGCGCGATGCCCATTTTATCCCCGTCTTCTCTGAGGATGCCTGAGAGTGGCTGGATCTGAATATCTCTGACAAAGATGACTTCTTGATTCCTCATGGTCTCAAGGCCCATCAAAATCGCCAGAAGTTATGGAAAGGGTTTTTAGTGAATTCTCTGACTTTCAAGGAAATGGGTGATCATTGGAGAGGAGGCTGGAAACCCCTTTCTCTAAAGACTGTGTCAGGCAGGTTCAGCCCAGCTGAGAAAGGTCCGTGGGGGCTTGGGACATGCTCCGTTTTCCACACGAGAAGGGCTCAGGAGAGGGTGGTAATGTCTGGGATGTCTGTGGCATGTGCAGCCAGCCCTGCCACAGCGCCTCACTGGATGCTTCCCCATCCCGGCCCCGACTACCTGGAAGTCCGGATTTGGTCCTTGACTGAGATCGTGCCCAAAGCTTCCTATGGTCATCAGCCCCACGAACTCCAGGCTGGGGCACTTGGCGTTGATGTGTTCCACCATGGCCACCGTCTCTGAAGGGAGCAGGCCGTGCTTGCCTTCACAAAAAGAAACAGAAGACACGCCCACAAGATGTTTTAAGAAGCCAGACGCAAGATCTCTTCCTGCCCCCTCCTATGAGCAAGGAGGCGACTCTCAGACAAGGGGACCTCCGTTTAAAAAAAAAAACCTGAAAAAAAACCCCCCACAAAAACCCAAACTCCACCAAAACAAACACAAAAACAAAACAAACAAAAATCCAAAGCACACAATCCCCTTCTTGATTCCCCTTACCTCCCTCCTCAAAAATTAAGAAGTAACAAATCATGATGTGTTAAAGAATTACATGCGGACTGGCTGGGCTGTCACCATGCCACCGAGACCCTACGTACAACAGCTAACTTAAATGTCTGTGGTTTCCTCCTGTGATCGGAGCTCAAATGCTTCCACCCACCATTCTTCCTGAGCCCCAAACATCCTAGGGGGAAGAAAAACCCACAGTCCAGGTCCGGTCACTTACTCTCCTCTCCACTGGTGTTAATTTGGACCATAACCTTTAACCTTTCGGGAGCACCTTTCTTCTGCCATGAACTGTTCACTCTGTCTGCCAGCTTCACAGAATCCACTGTTTCCAGCATGAAGAGATTGGGGACAGCTGTGACGAGAAAGAGGCAAGGTCATTCTTCACTCACCCACTTGCGACAAGCAACACCCCACAAATCTTTTCTTGGTGGATGGAAAAGTGATTTCCCAGGAAGAAAAAAGTTAAGTCTCAGTTCTGCTAAGAAGACTGATGGGACAGGTTTGCTAGACACGTGCTCGAATGTCAGCTCACTGCTGTCTAATTGCAGAAGACAAACAAGGACAGGGAAGCAATGACACGCCACCATCAACAGGCACACGTATCCGTCCACATACTTCAAGAAGCTGGTAATTCAGAGAAATACAAATGAAAACTACCATGAGGTGTCACCTCACACCAGTCAGAACGGCCATCATTTAAAAGTCCACAAACGATAAATGCTGCAGAGGGTGTGGAGAAAAGGGAACCCTCCTACACTGCTGGTGGGAATGCAGTTTGGTGCAGCCACTGTGGGAAACAGTATGGAGATTCCTTAAAAAACTAAAAATAAAGATACTGTATGATCCAGCAATCCCATTCCTGGGCATGTATCCAGAGGGAACTCTTAATTTGAAAAGACACATGCACCCCAATGTTCACAGCAGCACTATTTACAACAGCCAAGACATGGAAGCAACCTACATGTCCATCCACAGATGACTGGATAAAGAAGTTGTGGTATATTTATACAATGGAATACTACTTAAAAAAGAATAGAATAATGCTATTTGCAGGAACATGGATGGACCTAAGTGAAGTGAGACAGAAAGAGAAAGAAAAATACCATACGATATCACTTACATGTGGAATCTAAAAAAATGACATAAATGAACTTATTTACAGAACAAAAACAGATTCACAGACTTAGAGAACAAACTTATAGTTACCAGGTAGGGGAAGTAGAGGGATAAAGTAGGAGTTTGGGATTAGCAGATACACACTACTATATATAAAACAGATAAACAACAAAGTCCTACTGTACAGCACAGGGAACCATATTCAATACCTTGTAATAACCTATAATGAAAAGAATATGAAAAGGAATCTATGTATGTCCATGTATGACTGAAACATGATGCTGTACGGCAGAAATTGACACAGCATCGTAAATTGACTAGACTTCAGTAAAAAAAAAAAAAAAAAGAAGCTGATAACTGTAGAGGTTACAAATGGCAGGCCTGATCTGGTTAAATCTTGGTTCAAACTGAAACAGGCCAAGGTGACAATAAGGAAAGGATAAACAGGGAAAGCCAAAGTGCTCCCCTGGCATGACATCCCCACGTTCTCCAGCTTCCTGGGATGAGGGTGCTCTGACTCAACAGGGACATCAGAACCACGCGACCCCTGACAGCTCAGGGAGACGCTGAAGTCATCAAAACCACCTTCTTTCCCAAAGATGCATGTGACATGCAGTATTGGTCTTGCCTCAGATTAAAAAACAACAAAACAGAAGCAACATTAGCAGCTAACTTTTAATAAACACTGAAATCCTCCAGGCAATATGTTAATCACCTTATAGGTATTCTTTCTTTTTTTTTTTTCAAATAAGTAGAGTTGATTTACAACACTGTGTTAGTTTCAGGGGTACAGCAAAGTGTTTTCCACAACGGCTGCACCAAACTTCAATCCCCCACCAACAGTGTAGGAGGTTCCTTCTTCTCCACACCCTCTCCAGTATTTATTATTTGTAGACTTTTTGATGATGGCCATTCTGATTTTGATTGTTGTGATGGTTTCGCAAGTACAAACATATGCCAAAACTTATCAAACTGCATACTTTGAATATATGCAATTTATTGTAAGTCAATTACACTTCAATAAAGCTGTTTCAAAAAATAAATACAGGTTACTTTAATTTTGACACCTTGAGAGAAATAAGTATTGTTACTTAAGCTCTCCACCTGTGCCATGCAGTTAAGTTTTCCTATAGTTAATTCTTATTTTTACATTATTTACTGTATTTCACTGTATACTGTATTGTACTATTATATATTATACATGTAGTAGGTTGCATTTGTACTACTGTATATTATTATATTTCATTTACTGTGGCCTTTTATTTAAAAGGAAAAGGACAAAAAATGTTTTCTTTGCCAGCCAAAAAATTTTAAGGGCTTCAATTCCTTATAATTTATTTCAAAGACCACGAAAAACTACCTAACGTGAGGTAGGGTAGGTTTCCAAGTTTATATTACCCAGTCAGTTGTGAGTTCACTCTCTTCCTGTCATGATGTTTTCTCCTTATACTAAGAACTAAGATTTCTTTCCTACAAGAAACTGCAAAGCACAAATGGTGAATTAGGATTACTCTAAAATCTGTTCTCTCTTCCACAGAAGGTACTGTAAGTGATACACTGATGAGGAAATTTTGTCTTCGTATTTAGGGTTTCATCTTACCCATCAATTTGTTGACATTTTGTTTCTGTAGATGGCCAATGAAGTGCCATTTGATCTCAGGACACGAAGACAGAATCTGAAAGAGGTAAACATGTTTGACTCCAACACATGTGGGGGCCTTGTTGACTCCGATACTTTGCACACTCCTTTCTGACCTTTCCTGTCTATGCAATAAACCACCATCCCCATCTTCCATCAGGTTCCTGAGGATACTGACAGAAAAACCCAAGGCTTCTTCTGTTCATTTCTCTTCCGTGTTCCCATCAGCTTCCTCTTTCCTCCAGATATTGCCCATTAAGAATGAACTGATTAAAGCTTTCAAATCTCAAAAGGATCCACGACTAAAGTAAGCTCCTAAAATCACCCTTTTCAAAAAGCCACAAAGGAGAAAAATATGGTCTCAATAAAGAAAGAAAATCTAGATGAGAAATATCTGGGGCTCAGGAGAATGTAGACATTTCTACCTTCAGCCTGACCTCCAGCTCTGAAACTCAACCACCAACGTGGGTCTCATTTTCAAATGAAGAGCCAAGATTTAGGTACAAACGAAAGAATTCAGATTCCACTTACTTTAGGATTGGATGCTTTTTCGAGCAGTTCCTGAACCTAAAGGGTAAAAACAGAATGAGTCAGAAGCCAGGCAAACATGACTCTTCCAAGGGCAGTTTGGAAAAGGGCTCTTACGTAGTTCTCCCCAAAAGTGCGCTGGCCATGATTGTAGGCCTCGATCACCATGTCTGCAGGTTTGGTTTTGCTGACCGCTACTACCCGGGGCTGGACGGCTGGAAGTTCCTGCCAAGAGGGAAAGAGCCAGATGAGTGAACGTCTGGGAATATTATCCCAATGAGTCTTACAGGCTAACTTGGTAGAGGAGATCTGCACAGGTCTTTAACTTGGCATTTGGTAAGATCCATTTTTCTCCTACTGTAAGGAGATCAGTATCAAATAATGTTGATCAAATGTCTTTCTTATGCAAGGTGTCTAAATCTAATGTTAGCCACCTTAATATCTAGTGAGAGACCTTTCTCTCTCAGGAGAGCTGGGCCGGCAGATAAAAGAGCAGTTCCTTAAAGTGTGGCCTTGGACTGAGTGCGTCAGCACCATCTGGGTCCCACTCCAGACCTACTGGATCTGCATCTCTGGCTGGAGTCTCAGAATCTCCTTTAAAACAACTTCTCCAGATGATTCTCTTGCGTAACAAGGTTGGAGGTTTAAGAATCACGTCATTAAGGGAGGGCATCACTCTCTGATTAGAAAGGAGGCCACCTCTGGCTTCTGAAACCCCAAGATTAACCATTTTGGGAAACTCACCCCGGTCCTGCTGTAATGATTCATATTGCCCACATACCCTCTCAAAAGCAACCCACCTAGTGCAACTCTAATTTACTGCTCAGTCTGATCGAGAACCAGTGGCAGAGTTGAGGCAGGGACACAGAAGATGCTGGACTCAGGATTAGGCCTCTTGACCCCCTTGCTCATGGCCATTAAGTAAAAAGCAGGGCTTCCCTGCATTCTACTGCAACCAAATTGAGATGGAGAAGAGACTCACCCATCCCCATCTAGCTCAGTGTTCATGCACCCCATCACCCTCTGGGATTTTTACGAAATCACAGGGCACTCAGAGGGCCTGAGGAGTTCAATCAATCAGCAAAGAGTTTCCCCTTCCTTCTGAGGGCTGCTGCCAACCTTTCATGGGGCATGCCAGAACTCTTAGGATTATGCTGATGCACGGACAGTTTCCAGAGAAAAAGGTGGAACAGGCAGCCCATCTGGCTGAGAGCTACATTGGGAGAACCCCCTAGTGTGATGTTTACTAGGCGAATCTGTAGCTTTTTCTTGGGGAATCACAAACATTAATGCCAGAAGGGAGCTTAGAGCTTTCTGAGCTTTCCACTGCCAGTACAGGTGAGGAAACTGAGGGCCCGAGTAGTTAACTTGTTCTAGTTAATTAACAGCCTAATTTCTTAATTAACAGTCTAATTAATCTAATTAACAGCCAAGGAAAGGCTGTACTAATACAGGTCTTCTGTCTCCAGGCAAGCATTCTGAGCTCTGCTGCCATACCTCGGCCAGGGAAAACTTTGACCTCTATTCAAGTCTGTCTCACTCCACACCGTTCACCTTCAACTTGCACCGAGGAGAGGCAGATTATTGACCTCTGGTCTAATTAAATTCCAAGAGGAGACAAAATACACATATGAAGGAAAAAAAAATCTCCCCTTAAACTAGTTGAGATTGGATGTCAGTTCCCTTCTGCCCCAAACGAGCAAGTGCAGCTCTGGTGCTTCCAAAAATCTGGTCAATCCACCCTCTCCGCCTGCAGGTGAAACTGACATTTACTGAGTATCTACTAGCTAAGGCGCTGCCACACACGTGATCTCCGGCTGATCAGGCCTCTTCTGGGCGCTTCCGTAGTGGACGTCGTCTCTTGCAGCCTCTGGGCACAGGCATGGGACGGGGAAGGGTCTTGATACCTGGAGACAGGTCATTTTTCCGGGGCAGCAATACCTTCTGTTTCAACTGAGCCTACCTCCGGAGAACCTGACAGACTCGACGCGAGGTCGCTGAGGAAGTCCTTTCCTAGCCTTCTGGGGGCTCTGCAACCTGCGCCAATGCCAAGGCGGCGGGCAGATCCCGCCCCTCCGGGAGACCCCTCTGCGTCACCGTGACGACCCATTCCCATGCAGGTGTCCCCCTTCCTCAAAGCGGCCGCCCAACGTCCCCACGCGGTCCCCTTCCTCACCCGCGGCCGCCGCGCCACAGCCTGCTCCACGCGCTCGTTCACTGCCCGCAGAGCCAACCCGATTCCCAGCTCCGCCGACATACTGCCAGCTCTCCACATCCCCCAGGGACCAAGGTCCAGCCCCGGACCCTCAGCACCCTAGGCTGAGACCCCTTCCGGTCCCGCCCAGCTCACGTCTCCGAGTGGCCCAATCACCGCTCACCACCGAGTCGTCTCAGCCAATTGTCGGCGCGGAGGCGGGACTTTGGCCGTGTGGCGAGCGGCCCCGCCCCCTCGGCAGCGCCATCTTGGGGAGGTCACCGCGGAAAGCAGGCGGGGCTCTCGAGCGCGGGGGCGCTCTTTTTGTCATTCCGGGGCCGCCCCGCGGGTCTTCGACGTCAGCCGCCCGCGCCGTTCGTGCCGCCCCCGCCGCCCGCAAGGATTGCAGAAAACGCTGCCTATTTCCGAGATCCTCTCCCCGGGGTCCTTTGCCGGGAGACCAGGATGAGAAGCTGCTGGGGCGGGAGAGCAGGCTTTTATCTCAGATGATTCTCGGGAGGAACCGTGAAGAGGTATAAAAGAAGACTGTTTCTAAAGAACATGATATTTTCCTCTGGTCATCCTTTAGACCAGTGCTGCCCGATAGAAGTATGATGCGATCCATATATGTAATTTAACATTTCCTAATAGGCATATAAAAAGTAAAAAAAAAAATTAATGAATACATTTTATATAGCCCAGTATATCCAGAGTAAGGTTTCAATATGTAACCAATAGAAAAACAATGGTATATTTTAATTCTTTTTTATTGTGCTTAATTTCCAAAACCCGGTGTGTAGTTTGGACTTACAGCAAGCCTCAGTTGGACTGTCCACGTACCAGCTGGTCAGTCCCGCTGGTGGCTGGTGCTGCCTGCCTTCCTAGTGAGGAAACCTGTTGGGAGGAGAGCTTTAGACAGACCAGCCTGAGCTCAGCACACAGCCCGGTTCCTGAGTCTCCTGCGTGTCCAGCTCTGAGCGTTATGGAGGTCACAAACACGATGAGGAGCCAAACCATACAATGGCCAACACAGGAAAATGCTAAACTTCATAGTCAGATGGTGAAGTAGGTGCCAGGTGCAAGCAGAAATCAGTTTTGTTAACGAAAGCCCTTTTGGCTGTACTATTGAAAGATTCTTAAAACATTAATTCAGCTTAATAAATGAGATGCTATTATGTTGGAGAAAGTTTAAAGGTTGTTCTCCATGTTATCTTGAGGTGACTCGCTTACTTCCACCCTTCTGGAAAGAAAGGGCAATATTCATACTTTCTTCTCTCACCGTCTTCCCAGACGCCAGGAACTGAGACAGAATTTCACATGTCTGCTCTGGGAAAACCACTTTGAGCAGAACTTCTCAAGGAGTTCTTTTTGGGACGTCTCCATTTACCAGGTACACAAAACTGGGTTATCTGTAGACTAGGGTTGCCAACGACATTAACAGTAATTGCGTTCTAATCAAATGTCTCTGGACTTGATAATTTCTACTCTTGTCAGAGTAATAAAGATTTAAAAATGACCAAAATAGCCCTTCATGGTGTGAATAGATGCCTGTTGTAGAAATACAAGGTTGGAATGTGCTAGCCAGCAGTCAGCAGTGGGAGGAACAGAGGGGTGAAGGTGATGGGGATGAGGAAGGACTGGGTGAGCATGACATACTTAAATTGATACACTGTTTGGAAAACATTTTAAAAACCGTAAATACTTCATGGACCTAAGGGATGCCTAATCCAGGTGATAGGTCACTATGACAACATGTAGGAGTGTCTTTATTTAATAGATCAGGTCTTTTCTTGAATTACAAGATCAACTCCCCACCACAATGCTGTGTGTGAGTGTGGCTGCCAGAGAAGTATCAGAAGAGTGATTTAAGCTTTCTAGTTAATAAGGATAGCAGTGGTATGAGATTGATACGAGTTGAATCTTGGTTTCATCGCTAAACTGTGATCTTTTCAGTTTTTTTATCAAATGGAGTCAACACCTCCTTCAGAGTTGCAGTAAGAATCAATCAAGGTAACATGACACACACTTAGCAGAGTGCTCCCCCAAAGCAAGTGTTCAATAAATGTTAGCCCCCTCACCCCCGCTTATACGTTCAGTCAACATTTATAGAGGCATTTTTCTCTATAAAGGAGCCAGGGGGAGACCAAGATGAGTAGGACCGGCTTTATTGTGGATTCATTTCTAAGATATTTTCATTTCTACCATCCATGACCTTATGAAAATGGAAGTAAAGACAAAAAGATAGTGGGACCCCAGTTTTATTATCACTTCACATTTTCCAATTTCTTTACTTTTTTTTTTAACGTATTAGCTGTGCTTTCGAGTTAATTTTATCCCACTTTTTCCTCATTTTCTTTTTCAGTTTCTTCTCTTCCTCTTCTTGGGACATCAACCATCTAATTGAATCTTTCATCCTTCCCTACTACTTAACCCTTGAAAAATGCAAGTCTAAAATCACTTCATCATCAGTAATTGTCTTTAAATCATGCCAACAGTCTGCTAGGACAAAGGGGAAAAGAAAGATTTAGCAAGCCAAGTACCCAGAGGAACAGATTTTATAAACAATTTAATAAAAATCTAGTATACTTCCCACAAATGCCATCAAGCTTGTAAAACATTCGGCTCTGTAGTCTAAGGCCTTGAATCATGAGAAAAGCATTTGTGGATTTTAAAATTGTTTCCTTCTGAGTTTACTGTGGTTCTTTCAGGGGATTAAAAACAAAGATAAAATAATAGAAAATCACTGTTGCCAGGTTACTTGGCTCTGACGAGAAACGGAAAAATAGTGCCCACGTCCGAGTTTAAATGAATTCAGGTAGGGAAGCCATGACAGCAATCCTTCCGCAAACATGCTGTCATATTTGGCTTTTGAAATGTCAATATGGCTTCTAGAACCCTAGACCTGGGGAGGACCTTTAGAGATCATCTGATCTTTCATATGGAGAGGATGACATTTAAACCATCCCAAACAGCATAGAAGCTCCCCAATTTCTGAAGCCCGTCAGAGAAGAAAATGTTATCTGTGCTAATCCCTGGATTGATTTATTTTCTCCCTGTTTCAAATTTTAGCCAGTCTTATTTTAAGTCAAATCTTTTTAAATGCTCTGTCCTGCGAGCTGATTTCCTCTTCTTTGGTCTCTGAGCAGCTAGACAATATCTAGCTGACCATGATGCAACTTTTTTTTTCTTTGAAACCAAAGTCCAATGTTATGTGTCACAGGTATACAAATATAGTGATTCATAGTTTTTTAAAGGTTATACTCCGTTTACAGTTATTTTAAAATATTGGCTGTATTCCCTGTGTTGTATAATGATGCAACTTTTATGATCATAAAGTCGCTGAACTTCTGCCTTTTCTGGGGTCCCATAAGCCTTAATTTTTAACTACTTTTTTTCTTTGGGGTTTAACATTTTCTTTCTAGACTCTTCAGATCTTTTTTTTTTTCCTTTTTCCTTTTTTTTTTTTTTTAATTGGGGCCCAGAAGTGGGCAATTCCTTTCAACAGAGCCAAACTGGCTCATTTTTCACCTACTACATTGCTACATATTCTCAATACTGTTTGCTGCACTGCAGTGTTGCCCCTTTCTTTCTCTATGTGGTAGCCTACCTGTAATCTTAGTCTATGTTAATCATATCTGCTTGATTTCCCACTTAGTGGTACCCACTTTATACCTGTGTGCTTTCTAGCCTGTTTTACCAGATGCCTGAAAATAAGTTACTTTTGAACACTTGTGCATGCTAGGCAGAGTTCTAACCCCCTTCACATCTGTTACGTCATTTCATCCATTCAACCCATTTTATAGAGGAAGAAACTGAGTCTCAGAGAGGGTAAAGAATTTATTCAAGACCATACATCTAAGAAGTAGTAGAGCAGGGATTTGAATCTTGGCAGTTTAACTCTAGTAAATACATTCTTAACTTACCTATTCAATTGTAAAGTCATAATATTTCTGTTATAGCTCTCAAACTAAGAGAACAGTTTGGGAGCACCATTAAAAAAAACCCCTGAGAAATCATGGGCTAGGATTGCCAGATTTAGCAAATTAAAAGGCAGTTGACCCTTGCACGACACAGGAGTTAGAGGCACTGGCCCCGGCACCGAGGAAAATCCGAGTATAACTTTGTAGCAGGCCCTCGGATCTGTGGTTCTCTATCTCTGGTTTCAACCAACCGCAGATTGTATAGTCCTGTAGTACATATTTACTGGACAAAATCCATGTAAAAGTGGACCCAGGTTGTTCAAGGGTCAACTGTTCAGGATATTCAGTTAAATGCGAATTTTATATAAACAACAAATAATGCTTTAGTTTAAGTATGTCTCATGCAACATTTGGGACATACTTATACTAAAAGTTATTCATTGTTTATATGAACATCACATTTAACTAGGCATCTTGTATTTCATTCGGCAACTCTAGGCTGGGCAGCTTTCCCAAACAGAGACCGGGACTTTCTCATTGAATTGATATCAAAATGAGTTTTGGGCCAATTGAAAGTATCTCTGCTCTTTGGAGCAGAATTGCAACAGTATATGGATTCTTCTGTGGGGGGCGGTTAGGTTTTTTATTTAAAAAAAATTTTAAGGGGGTGGGTACCACGTATTGAACCCAGGATCTCGTGTATGCTAAGCACGTGCTCTACCACTGAGTATACCCTCCCCCCCAGCATATGGATTCTTTATGATAAATCTCTCTAGCACATACCAAGAATTATGCTGTGTTCACAAATTAGCTGTTTATTGTTTCCACGTTGATAATGCAGATAGATATTCATCTGAGTATACTCTGGAGGCAGTCTTGACTTAACTCTACTAGGCAAGGATGTTTTATCTCTTTATATCACTTAGCCTAATATTAGCTATTGCTAAATTTCACTTTAATAAAAAAATATAAAGACTCATTTTATTTAGCAAGACTGAAAATAAAACTGAGACATAAAATCACACCTTTAGTGTTGTTCAAAACAGTTCCTCCATCTGTCAACCCAAGGCAGTTAATCCAGCATATCATTTGTAGAGTGATGAACAAGAATCATTTCTCAGTGACAAAGGCGGTCATTAAGCCCTCAGGCCTCTCTGAAAGTAGAATTAGTTTTGACTGTTCAATCACCAGCTTGCACAAAAGCAGAAATAAAGAGGAATGGGAAACAAACACAAAATGATTGGCTATTACCTCTTTTAAAAAGAAACAACAGAAACAGTGGCTAAAACTCTACTCAGTAGAAAGTGGTTAAGTTCCCAGACACAGAGTAGCCACTAGTCAGGATACACTTTTATCCTCGAACTTAAATAAGCCAGTTAATTATGACGATCTCACCTTCACTATTCGCTCTCTATAAGTGGTAATGCTGTCCATATTGAAAGATACATAGACCCATACATAGAAGCTGCAACAGATCCTTTATAAACATCTACCTTTTTTTGATTCATACAGTCAGCCTACTGTAGCCATGGATACAGAACCTGTGGATACTGAGGGTGATGGTGCACTATTTTATATAAGGGACTTGAGCATCCCAGGATTTTGGTATCTGCAGGGGTCCTGGAACCAGCCCCCTGCAGATACTGAGATAATTGTATTGCTAATGTTCTTTCACAGTTTTTTTCCTCCCTCAACTTAATATGATCAGAGAGTCTCCCAAATTTATTTTAGTCATATAAAAATTATTAGCGCACTTTGGATTCCTTTCAAACATTCTGTCCTGATATTAAAAAAGTGATTAAAAACAGTACTGAATATGAATCCCTTCTGCAAAGTTTAATGAGTGAGAAACATTCAACCAAGGTGACTTTTCCTTAGAAAAATCCTACAAAAACTGAATTTTATAAACAATTACTTATTTTGATAGAAGTTCCATTTATAAATAGCAGCCATGACTTTACTGCCTACAAAACTGCAGGTGATCACATTTTCCATGTTTAGAATTTAAAGGTTTTCAGATCAGGTTTTCTAGTTAAGTGTTCTTAAAGACATGAAAGTCACACAGACCGACTGGTTAGATGTCCCACGCTAAGGACATGGCAGACTTCCATGGTTTTACTATTCAGGCAGGTACAGACAACCATTGGATTTAAACTGATGGGTACTATGATGGTTGTATTTTTGCTTAAAGCAGCAGTGACATTAACCTTGAGGAGGGCAGGAGCAGCAGGACTTCAGTGAGTCTCCTTTGTGATCCAGGGCAAGGAACAAGCTGTCGCAGGATGTTAGTATTAGAGAGACTTTCCAGTTAAGAGCCTACGCAAGTGTGCTGTTCAGAGGCTGACACAGCCTTGCTTCGTGTTCCGCTGCAGTGAAGTAGTGTTTTCTGAGGCTTGGGTAGAAAGTCTCAGAGCAGAGAAGCAGATAAATATGCAAATCAGGGATGCTGGAGGTGACATGTTGCTCCTGACCGGTGACTGATGGCACTGAAGTGGGAGGAGCGTGAGTGTATCTTAGTAATGGATACCTTACGTTGGTCTTAGGAGACTAATGGCCTCTTGGAAGGACTTCTGAGCGCGTGACAGTCCATCGTGCCCAGGAACATTCGGCTGCCTGCACAAAGTGTGACCAGTGGTTTGAGAATTCTAAGTCTCAGAAATCAGACCAGAGCAGGGCCACATCTAAACTGAGAGGAGTTAACCCTTTGTTTCTTCCTGGTCAGGCTGAATGCTTCCTGAGCTCCCAACGAGCCTCGTGCTACTTAGGAGCAAGCTGGCTCAACTTATGGGGCCATTTGATAAGTCAGAAGTCTGGGCGTGGGACTGAAAATGAGATGGCAATCTGTGCCAGAAAGTTCCACTCAGAGTTTCCCCGAGGGAAGAGGGAAGAGGGGTACGGCGGTGGGGACAGCTGATAACAAAGCTAGTAACACGTCCCACGCCGGAGCCTGTCACAGCCAATCCCGACGCGCAGGCAAGTCCATCCACTTAGCAATCTGGTACCCACCCCGCCTCCAATTTCAGGACATAAGAAAACCTTTTCTTCATGTTTGCTTTCCCCATCCAGATCTCCTAGTTAGTAATGGAAAAACATTTGAATGGATTTTGATGCAGCCACTCTAACACAGGGACTCGGGCGTGAACTCTGACCTGCACCCACACAGCTGTCCCTAGAGATTTCACACTCAGTGTGACCCCCGTGTGGGAGCTGGGAGCCTGAGGTTTCAAGACACGTACCACGTAGAGAATGGGCTTCCTTCGGTCGCTATGTCAGACGAACTCCCAGCACGAGCCATAGACATTGTGACTGGGAACTCTTTTGGATGACCCTTCTTCCTCCCCCAGAGAAGCTACTCAACATGAAGAGACACTTGATTCCAAGGAACACACATTATTTGCCAAACAGGTGCTCAGTGGCTAATGGATACCATGGTTCCACTTCAACAGCTCTGAAGACACTTGAGTTCTTTGTTCCATCTTCTTGACGCTGAGCGGAACCAATGAACAGGTTAAGAGGAGAAAACACCAACTTGCAGAATAGGTGAAAAGTTTTAAAAAGAACTGTGTGGTGGTGACCAAACCCTGACTCTGGGCAATGGAGTCAGAAGCCACCACTCTTCAAGCCCTGGGGCCACGAGGCCGGTGTGTAGAAAAGCTCGCAAAACCTAGCACCAGATCTTCCTTGCCAGAAAGCGCAGCTCTGTGGCAGCTCACGTCTGCACCGACAGCAACGCTGGGAAAGCCAGCATTCTCGAGGGCCCTGCTGGCAAACTTACAAGCTCGCATTTGCTCAGTCATTGAGCCTCCCCCACAGGCATCTCCCACCTTGGAGGCAGGATGAGAGCACTGGACTACCTTTTCCCAAAGAAGGGAAATCAAATCACCTGGAGGCAACACCCTGTATTTCTCCTGCTCCTCCTTGACAGCATCCCTAATTAAGCCAGCTTCAAAAGGGCGAAAATCAGGATCTGGAGGTCAAAGGTCTAACCCAGGGTTCACAAATCTCAACAGAAGTCATATCACCTACTTACCTGAATAAAACCCCAAATCACCAATCCCTGCCCTCCCTTCCCAGGAAGGGGAATAGACTTAAGTCCGTGTCTTCTTTTTTCGCCATGGCACATGGAAGAGAGTCAAAGAAGGTTGGGTGGAAGGGAGGGGCATCCTGGTTCATCAGTAAAAAATAAAGATCTCTCTGAGTGTCCAGAAACATTCAGTTCTCCTCAGCGTCCGCCTCCGAGGGCTCACCCTCTAAGCCAAAGTTCAGCTTGTCAGCGAGCCCCTCAAACTGCTTGCCCAGGCCGCCAACAGAGTCCATGAACATGTTAGGGATGTCTTTGCCAAAGTAAATCTTGCTGTTGGAAGCGATGGCCTTGTATTTCATCAGCTGCAGATACTCCGGGGTCAGCTTCAGCTGCAAGGAAACAAAAGGACAGAAGACATCTGTGGGGCCAGGTTTGGGAAATTGTGGGTGGCGCCCCTTCGCTTTTCCCAGGGAGGGTCTCCTCAAGGTGAGAACCACGAGAATTTTAGGGATTTCTGTGTTTAACACCAAAATTAAACTATCAAGGCCCAGGTAAGACACAAGGGAAGGCCCTGGCCCACACAGCACAGGGGTCCTCCTCACTTCCGGCCATAAGGGGCTTGCGGGGCGGTGGTCTTGGACACCAGGGACTCTCAGGCAGTGTAGGCCCAGACCCAGAGACACCCCTCCCCACAGGCGGCGCTGGGCTTACCTTATTCGCTTCGGCTATCTTCATGGCCGTGTAGCACTCGGCGTCCGCCTTCGCCTTCTCCCGGGCCAGGAACGCGGCATCTTAAGGGAAGAATACAGTACATTGAAGCGCCGAGGTGATCAGCAGGCTGCGCCCGGCCACCTTCCCCGACTGCCTCTGTGACCTCAGGCAGATGGCTCTTATTACTCTGTGCTTTGATTTCCTCATGGATGAAACTGGGAAAAAGGCATTTTTTTCCAGTTTCGCAAGCTGTTGTGAAAATCAACCAAAAGACAGCTTCTGACTGCGGTGGAGACAAGCTCTGAGCAAGTCTGTGGCTGTGCCCGACCATGTCTTCTTTGACAGCATCGTCGAGAAAGGCACTGCCACCCAGAGACACGTCCTCTTTCTACCTGTTTACTCCTGTGGTAGCTCTGTGCCTGGGAGGAGTGGGGTGGGACCCCCACCTCAACCTTCAGGCTCTGAGCTCTCCACCTCGACTCTTTTGTACTCTCAGCAAAAGCAAGAGAAGCCCAAAGAAGGCTCCGGACACGGCCAGAGGCAGATCTGTCCAGAGGCAGATCTGTCCTAAAACCGACCGCCATAAACAAAACAGTTCAGCCCCTCTCCAACTTCATTTCCCTTTCGTTTCCATCAGTCATTCCAAAAAGGTTCTCATTTACGGTGGTTAAGCTGGCACAACTCTAAGGGAATTACAGGTCGTGGTCCAGACTAACACCTATTTGGGTTAAGACCTATTTATTTTATTTATACTTTTTTATGGAAGTATAGTTGATTTACAATGTTGTATTGGTTTCTGGTGTACAGCAAAGTGATTCAGTTTATATATATATATATAAACTGAATATATATATTCTTTTTCATTGTAGCTTATTATAAGATAATGAATGTAGTTCCCTGTGCTATACAGTAGGACCTTGTTGTCTATCCATTTTATATACATTAGTTTTTATCTGCTAACCTCAAACTTACCCTCCTCTTCCCCTTTGGTGACCATAAGTTTGTTTTCTATGGGGTTAAGACCTATTTAAGCTTCTAGTATGCAAGCAATACACTTCCTTAATGTGCTGAGACCAGCTTTCGGTCAAACTGACACAAAATTTTTGATATTGACTCCTTGGCCTTGGGAATGAGGCCAGCCTCGTGGGAGTGACACCTGTAGCAGAAGCTGGGTCTGTGGGTGGGTTCCCACTGCACCCTCAGCAGGGCCCTGGGTGGGAGGAGCCTGCAGGCTGGTTGAGGCTCTGGCTGCTGGAGGCCAACTCAACTGGTTTTGGCACCTGATGACCCGTATTTATAAGAAATAAACATATGTTGCTCTGCTAAGGGCTCCCCAACGAGGAGCTGCTACAAAGCCCGACAGGCCCCATCGTGCTGTGACTGGACACAGCACTCGTCACCTGAAGCTGGGCCTGGAGGTCCCATTTCTGTTGTCTGATTTGCTCCGTTTAAGGTACCCCCTGGAGCAGAATATGGGTGGTGGGAATGAGATGAGGGCTGAGGGGCAGGGAACTGAACGTGAGTCATGTTCAGAAAAGCTGGCAAACGGTGAAAAAGAATATGAAAACGAGTATGTGTGTGTCCATGTATAACTGAAGCACAGTGCTCTACACCAGAAATTGACACAACACTGGAGACTGACTATGCTCCAATGAAAAGAGGTGAGAAAAAAGAAAAGCTGGCAAAGAAAATGCTTCTCTCCAGCTTGGGTTGTTGGTGCTGAAAAAGTGTCTGCTTCACACCCTGCTTAACTACCATGGGGATCTGAGAGCAGACTTAAGAGGCCAAAGCCACGGTCTTGACGGAATTCCAGGAGCGGGAGGGCAAGGCAGGAGGGAGAGAGCTGCTGTTCTGACCTCGCTCCTTGGTTTCCTCCCAATGCCAGACTGTGAGCTCAAGACAGCAGGGCCCACGAGGGTTCCCTTCTCTTAAGCCTCGCATAAGGGTCTTGAGGGCACTCAGCTAACGTTTGTTGACTGAATGAATCTCTCGGAAGTGGAATATGAATGCCAGCCTGGCTCGACTCTCCCCCAAACTCGAGTCAGCACACAGAGAACAAGTGATGTTCCAAAGAAGTCATGACATCTTAGAGCAGGTTACAGAGCCAAGGAAATGACTCTCCCATCCCCTGGCCTCAGAGTGGGGTCGGAGGGAAAGGCAGGAGTGAAGTTCACTTTGGCTCACCTTCGATTTCCGAGATCTTCTTCTCCGTCTCCTTCTCCATCACCTTCTGCCCGTAGGTGATCTCTGCCACCTGAGCCACTTTTTCTGCCTCTGTATTAACAAGGTGGACAAAGGCTTAGCGCCCTGATATGTCAAAAGGTTGACTACACTGCACCTTTTGCCTGATCCACGTCCCTTATGCAGAGGGCTGCGCAAGCTCTGGTGAAGAGCCACTGGCCCAGAGGGCAGCACGGAGGCCCATGGGGCAGAGAGGGAATGCACAGTGAGCACAGGACCTCGGCAGCAGCACGAGACAGGAATGAGGGAGACCTGGGCCCAAGGGAGGAGCCCTACATCAGAGGGTGACAGCCAGGAGCAAACCCTGACCTCGCTCCTAAGTCACAGGGCATGTCTCCCAAAGGAGTAGTTTAAGGATCACGGTACTCCCTAACAAGTTTCCTCCTGCTGCCTCCCTCAGGAAGTAGCTGGGTTTGTGGCTGACAGCTGGGTGCAGTGGTGAAGAACCCAGGTTTGGGAGCAGAGTCCCTGGATTTGAACGCCACTTCTGCCACATACTTGCCATGTGACCTTGGGCAAGTAATTTAACCTTGCTGTGCTTTGGCTCAGTAAAATGAGGTGAATGATGGTGACTTTCTCACCCAGGGGCTGTGAAGAGCGAGCTAGTTCACATACAAGTGCTTAGAAAAGCCTCGGCTCAGAGTAAGGAAGGGCTAAATAAGTGTTCTCACTACTGTGAGTGACGAATGAACAGGCTGGCCTCCTTTCATTTAAGAGCTACGCGGAAACTCAAACTCACGACCCCGGCCGTGATCTGACAATTCCAGCTCTGCTTCTGGGACTAGGAAAGCCGCCCCTGCGTACGGCAGGGGTTCGGAGGGCCATGGGCCACGCTTCCTCGAGTCTTGCCCCCTTCCCCAGCCCCTTGGCCCCGAAAGGGATCCCAGAAGCACATGCAGACCAATGAGGGCCTTCTTCCGCTCGGTCTCCGCCTCCTTCTCCACCACCTTCTGCTTCTGGGCCGCAATGAGCAGCTTTGTCTTCTCGCTTTCCCTGGAGGGGAGAAAAGGGTGCTGCTGTGAGGCTGCTGAGGGTAAGTTTCTGCAGAACTCCACCGTTCCCTGGAAAAGCCCAACTCTCCTGCCGAGGGAGGCCAACTGGGATTTCTTCCTGTCTCCTGGAAGCCTGTTTCAGGTCCAAGGTTAAAGCTGATATGCTACAGACAGTCACATGGACCTCCCTTTCCTCCCAGATTCGTTTGTGGGAAATAGAGCAGGATTTACTTGAGGAAAAGGCCCCTGCCTGCCCACTGAGGCACCTTTCCCTCCAGTCTTCTTTGGCACGAGCCATGAAGCACACAGGAGGCCCCCTGGCCCTTTTAAAAGCATCCCTGCTCTGAGGCTCTCAATCACAGTCACAGAGCCCAGGTGAGTGTGCTGACATGCCCTCTCCATCCTGCAGGCCAGTGGGCTGTGACAGACACTCAAGAGGGGACTAGCAGCCTGGCAGAGTGTTGGATACCCCTGGGGTGGGATGAGTGGGAGGCGGGAGAGGGGCAGAGGGCACACTCACATCAGCTCGTAGTTTCTGCGGATGGCCTCGGGTATGTTGGGTTTTGTCACCCGCACAGCCTGGAGAAGGATAAAAACAGCACCTGATGGGGAGGTGAGGGTGCTGAGGGACCGGCTATCACTGGTCTGTGCCCCTCCTGCACAGGTGGGCCGTCCCCCGGGAGAGGGGGCGCTCCCACCACAGCCATGCTTACTTGGATGACGAGCCCAGGGGCCATGGAGGTCAGGTCCTGCTGCAAGGCCAGTTTGAGATTTTCATCAATCTGATCTGAAGTCAAGAAAGACAGAAAAGGAGCTGTGACACTTTCTAGGCAGGGTGGAGGGAAGGATGGGGGCAGAGTACAAGCCAAGGGAGCACCAACTCAAAAATGCACCTACAGGCAAAAGGTCCTCCCAACGCAGGGCGCTCATCCGAGCCCAGGCACCTAACGAGCCCCTGCAAGACTCACAGCGGAGGCCTGTGCAGTCCCGCTTCATGAGCCAGGCTCGAGGACGTCCTTCCCTGTGGCCTCCAAACGGGAACTGAGCTTTAAAACTAGCACATTTCTTCAGTCAGCAAAAGAGAAGGTGTGCACCCAACTTTCATGAAGATGGAAGGTGGAAGGGCCACGTTAGGTATTTTGAAAAGAGCCAAGCACATGAAATCTAGTTATTTTACAAGTTTCTAGAAGAGAAACACTCTGATGTCAAGGAAAGCCCCGAGGAGGACCAATGCCTGTAGGACCTCCATCAAATCACACGAGGGGAAAATGACAATTTCCAGTCCCAGAAACGAGCCCAGGTCCTCTGATGTCCTGTTTGATGCTGTTCCTTTGTCTGGAATCCACAGGTGAGTCGTTTTGAGAACAAGCAGAGGCAGAGAGATAACTGACCGCCCCCTCAAGCTGCGATCCCAGAACAGCAGCACCGAGACTGCCTTCTCTGGCCGGGCCTGCCCTTCCCTGCCCCCCGCCCGTGAGACCCTCAGTAAGACCCTGGAAGGGCCCAAGAAAAGGCCACCACAAAACTGAGTTGGGTCATCGAATCGGAACCACCTCCCTCACTGTCAGCTGCCATCTGCTTTAAATGACCATTCTTGGTCACCGGGGCCGAACCAGGAGCCTCTGCCGAACAGCGAGTCTAACTCCTGCCTTTTACAGACGTCCAGACCGAGGCCCTCGGCGTCCAGCGATGTGCTCAAGCCAGTGAGTGGCCAAAATAAGGAAGCTGTTGAATGACTGTGCTTTGATGGTTAGGATTTCAAACAGTGCTCTCTTCGACCGTCGTATCACTAAGCAGGGGTTTGAATGTTTTACACACTGGACGTGCTCTCATGAGCCTCTCGGCACCGAGAAAGGCCCATAAAGGTAGCACCCCGCACCCCACCCGGGGCTCACAATTTGACAGCTGGAGGTAAACACTCCATTCCATGGTGTCTATTGTGAACAGGAGGCCAACCAAACTTTAAGTGAGGGGGCCTGTGCCCTCCATAAAGTAATAACACAGTTGCTTCTCAGACCAAATTATATCCGAGTCAAGGCAGAAACCTGTGACCCTGGCCTAGCAACTTTCTAGGAAAACCTGGAAGAAATATTTCACAGGTTGGTTTACTACCAAAGTGACACCAGTACTAAGCTGTTTATATGGGACAATTATGCTGATAAATGCCTATTAACACAAAGAGGTTCTTCAGATAAACTTCTGAACAAGTACTGGGTGACATTTTTATAAAATGGGCAAAGAGGACGCATTGCAGTCAGCAGTGATGGCAGCTGCAGTCAAGATGAAGGTCAGGGCTCTGAGTCCTGACAGGAGGGGACCAGATCCTTCAAGGAACAGGATCGAGCTTCTCCTTTGCAGATGCAAATGGATTCTAAGCAGAACGGTGCTTGCTGACAAGAACAAACTTTAAAAAGAAAAACATCTCAGAGCAGACGCACTTCCCCGGCTCCTTTGTACATGAAAAGCTACATTTCTCTAAGCTGCCAAGTTCATCTGTGAGACAGTGAGAAGTTTTCTAATGCAAAACAATTTCACATCCTGATTCTCTCTTCATGGAAATTAGAGATCTTTTGTCCTTGGTTGTTTCAAATGCTTTCAAATAATTCATTTAATGGCACAAGTTCTAAAACAGTGGCTAGAGAGAAAACTAATATTTTATAAAGTTCTATCAGTTTGAGGTTAAAAAAAAAACCCCAGCAAATTTACCCGATTTTTCTTAAAAGCACACTGAATCCAAACTCAGTAAAAGAATTCAAAGCTTACAAAGTGAATTTAGATTCATTTTCTACTGCAGAAAAGCTATAAGGGCCTCTGATGATTTCCCAAATCTGAAACACAGTGCAACAGGCCGTTTGCTTAATTAACATCACTTGTATCGCCATTTGCAGCAGCATGGATGGACCTAGAGATGATCATACTGAGTGAAGTAAGTCAGAGAGAGAAAGACAAATACCATATGATACCACTTATATGTGAAATCTAAAATATGATACAAAGGAACTTATTAACAAAACAGAAACAGACTCACAGACATAGAAAACAAACTTATGGTCACCGAAGGGGAGCAGGGGTGGGGAGGGACGAATTAGGAGTTTGGGATTAACAGATACACGCTACTATGTATAAAATAAACAACAAGGTCCTACTGTACAGCACAGAGAACTATATTCAATATCCTGTAATAAACCATAATGGAAAAGAAAAGAAAAAAAAAGAAAGATGACTGGCATCACCGATGACTCGTCCTTTGTCTACTCTGCAGGATGTTCTCACTCAGGGGCCTTTTGATGAAGACTCCTGGGAGAAACCACTGTCCAGCTCTGGTGTCAAGAATAATCATACCACTGGCTGCAGAGGTGGTTTGTTTTTAGCGCTGGCTACTAGAGCGCTCCCAGGTACACGTTTAAACCAAACACTTTATCCCAAAAGAGCTGTAACTATGACTGCAACACCTTCTTCCCTTGCTGCTGAAGTCGGGCTGTGTTTACTTGGACCAGAAAAAAGGACAGGAAGTGTCTGCTTAAGCACACGGGTCCTTTTTGTTTCAAGCATTTTCCTGTTCATCTCTACATGTACAGGGTTGAAAACAAACAAAAAAACCAAGTACCAAAACTCACAAACGTTCTAGAAACTGCGAGGGGCTACAGTCTTTGTCTTCCTTGGAGAATGAAAGGTGACTCCTGCTGTTCTCAGCACCCGAACAGGGTGCCCCTCCTCCAGGTGCCTTCTCCAGGGTGGCGTGGGGACAGAATGCTGAAGCAGAGCCAGGGGAGGTTAGCACTCGCTTCAGCTCGGCCAGCAGCCACCTCTGGGACGCTCTCCCTTTGGGCCTTGGTTCCTAATCTTGAAAGGAGGATGTTGGGCTGGCTGCGTAATCTCTAAGGTTCTAGAACCACCCCCATCTTCACTACAGAACGATGCTCAGGGACAGTGGGGACGCATTTCCATCCTGGTCCTCCACTTCAGGCCCGACTGAGCCCTCCCATCCACTCTGACTCCTGCGCCCAGAGCTGGACCACTCTGGCAACCTCCTTCCACTGTCATCAGCGTCTCCCAGGAAGGCCCTGTGCGACCGCCCACTTCCTGAGCACTAAGTTCTTCCCCACTCCCGGTCCCTTAGTCCCCGGCCTGCCCCGTGGCGGCAGGGGCAGCAGGCAGGTCAGGACGAGAGGCCTTCTTACCGAAGAGCTCGATGTAGACCTCCTGCAGCGTGTGGACACTGCAGAACTGGTTCAGCTCGTGGTGGATCTTGTTGAAGATGAGGGCCTTGTCATAGTCAGCTGTGTAGTTCTTCACTATGTCGTACACTGGGAGGAGGAGAGGTTCAGAGTAAGCTGGGACAGACGTGGGGTGGGGGTGAGGGGGACACGCCGGGGAGAGTGGGCGGGGGTGGGGGGAAGAAACTTCCAGAATGTACCTGCATGTGGGACCAGGAAGTTCACCACCTCAATTCTGTCGAAGTAGATCATCACGCCGCCGCTGTGGGAGGAAGCACAGACAAGCGGTCACCGGAAAGCTCTGGAATATGGTGCCTCTCCTAGGAGTGGTGGCGGGCGTGTGACTCGGCAGAAAAGGAGGAGAGTTCATGGGAGGTTACGGGCACATGGATCTCCAGGCTGGAGACCTTCTGAGCTTCTAGCACAATCTCCCAAGGAATCACGCGTCTTAAAAATATCTCCACAAGGAAAAAGGGACTCTTTTGGGGTAAGAAAAGAGGAGTTCACATCTTCTGAATCAGCAATGACTTCTGATGAAAGCAACCAATCAAAGGGAAAAGACTAAAGGTCACGGAGTTCTCAGAACTTAAAAATGTGGAATTTTCTGGTCACCATTTCTCATTCTGTCTTCACCATCGCTTTGGTTCAGCTTTTCCCCTTCCCTGCCAATATTCTTTACAAAAAACTTTCAAACATACAGGAAAGTTGAAAGAATGGTACAACTAACACCCATATACTAACATCTAAATTTAACAATTGTTCACATTTTACCTATTGATTGATCTACTTTTTTTTTTTTTCCTGAACGTTTCAAAGCAAGCTGTAGTCATGATACTTTATCCTTCAATACTTTGGCAAGCATCAGTCACCTAAGAATAGTGACAGTCTCCCATAGTCACAATAGCATTCCTAAACCTAAGAAAATGAGCAGTGATTCCTTATCATCCAACACCCAGTCCTTCAAATTCCCCCAAAGTTCCCAGCATGGACGGAACTGTGTGTTCTCCAGAATCCACATGGGGAAACTCTAACCCTCAATGTGACTGTGTTTGGAGTCAGGGCCTTTACGGAGATAATGGAGGTTAAATAAGGTCATAAGGGTGGGGCCCTGATCCAGCTGGACTTGTCAAGGGAAGGAGCCGACCCCAGAGATCTTCCTCTCCCCACACATGTGCAGAGGAGAGGCCGGAGCAGACACAGCAAGGGAGCCACTTGCAGGCGAGGAAAAGAGGCTTCAGCAGAAACCAGCCTTGCTGGCACTTTGGTCTTGGACTCTGAGCTTCTAGCACGATGAGAAACTAGATTTCTGTTGTTTAAGCCGCCCACTCTGTGGTGTGCTGTTCCGGCAGCCCAAGATGACTAATACACTTTCCATAATGTGTTTTATAGCTGTTACTTTGGAATTAGGCTCTAATCCAGGTTCACCATTGCATTAGCTTATGTCTTTGAAGTCTCTTCTTCGACCCAAGTCTCCTCCAAATACAAGGACTCTGTGACGAGGTCAGGCAGCTGCCCAGGGCGATGCTGTGATCCTGTACTTGCCGAGCGCTTCCTCGTGGTGTGCTTTGTCACTCTAGTCCTGTTCGGACTTCCTTTACTTTGCAGTCGGACCACTACACTGATGCTCTCTTGGGACTGCCTGCCCCTAAGGTCACCCCAGACCTGCTTTCCACAGTTCTCCATAGTTAGTTGTGCTAAAGTTATCTTCCTCCAGCAGTTCATTCATCTGCTAAAAGCCTTCATCACGGCATTCAAGGCCCTTCCAGTGACCTTCTCTACTGCACTCCACCACCTCGTCAGCTCGGAACACAGGGAGCTCGGGGGCAGCGAACTCGGTAAAACCACCACGGGGTGCTTCCCCTTTCCCTGTCTCTTCCTCAGCAGCAGAAGCCCTGCCTGTCACTGGGGCTTAACAGCGTTACTGGGCACCTTACCTCGTCCCACAAGGTACATTCTTCACCTCGTCTGTCTGGAGTGTGGTCTGGAAATAGGGGAGACAGAAGGTGCTGAAAGGTGGGCAGTGATAAACAAAGTGACTTTAAAAAAAAAGAAAGAAACAAACAAAAAACCAAAGTGACTTATTTGGGGAATCCTAAATAGCCTTGTCCTTGAATATTTATTTGTATTAAGCTTTGCCTCTGTTAAAGGTGAACATCCCCACTGACTCCTCTCACTTACAGAGCTGGAGGCTAAATCAAACAAAGGTACCTACCCTGGCTTTGCTGTAAATGAGCCACCAAAGGAACAAGTAAGAATGCTTTGGTAGAAAAGACCCTGGATCAGGAGTCCTAAGACCTGCGCTTACTTCTGTCTCTTCCATTTGCTAGTCTTGAAACAACAGATTCTTAATTTAACCTCTCGGCCCATAAAACCTGCTTAGCCCATCCTCAGGATGACCTGGGACTCCAATGAGATCCCGTGCATGAATGCACTTTGAAAACCATATAGCACAGTAAGGGGCATACGGGGCAAGCACTGAGGAGGTGCCCCAGGACATTTCCCAAGGTCAGCGTAATAGTCACTTTCTAAATCTTCCTCTTCCTCTTAGTTGGACATACTTCAGAGACGGCTCGTCTAACTTAGCCCGGCTTTAGATCCATCATCACTAACTCTACTCCCACTTTAGATGCCACTTCCCTTCACCAAGTTCAGCCTCTTCCCCCGCCCCTCAATTATGTTCCCATCTCTCAAATTCAAATAAGCCAAATTACCATGCTTTGTTTCCAACTATCTTAGTAGCCTGTGGTTTAAAACACACAGACACATACAACCTACTTTTCCTTCTACGCGTTCAGAACAGATTCTTCTCTGGCTTTGTCTTGAAGTGAAAAAAATGATTCTCAGCTGGGATTGGTGGCCAAGGCAATGACCCCATTCAGCTCTTTCAACAATCAAGTAAAATTCCAGAGAAGATGACTCATTGAGCCTCCTTCTTTATCTGTCTGTCTGTCTGTCTGTCCATCTATTACATATGACTTACTCTGAAATGATTCTTTATACTCATCCACTCATCCAATGGCTAAATCATTCCAAATCATGCATCAATCAGCACCCCACCCCCAAATCTGCAGTTGTCCAAGCCGACCCCACGAGCCAAGAGTACCTGCACAGACTTATACGATGTGATGAAAGGGAGCATCAGGTGGAAGCCAGGGCCGCTGGTGGACGTTAGCAGGGCACCGCCTCTGCAGAGGAGGGAGACAGAGGCAGGCTCAGCTCAGCAAAAAGTCCCTATTACATCAGTCCTGTCTGGACCCACTTTCTCCCCGGCCCCATCAGCATTCAGTATAGCGTGACATGTGCCAAAGCCACATTCACAGACCCCTTTCTTCCTCTCAGCTCGACCCTCATATTCTAGGAAGCCTGATGGCAAAACTTAAAACTATCACTCAGGTTTTTGCAGCGAGAAAAACTGGCACATAGAACTAAGCGGAATCAAGACAGTAGAATCTCTGGCTCTACTTGAGATAAGAGAGGAGGGCAGTTTTGTTTTGTCACATCTGTTGAGCTTGTGGCAATCCATAAGGACAGTAAATTCAGTGATACAGTGACCAATATAGATGCTAACGTTGGAGTCCTGTGACATGAGCAACCAGAAGAATAACTTCACGGACATTTTACAAACCATCTAAATATATATATACTTTTACAGTAGAGTTATCTTTCTAATCATGTTATACGTAAATGATAATAAAATTAAAAGCCATTTTGGGGGACATCTAAGCAGATGGTGGGAAGAAATAATTAAAGGGGAGAGGGGAACCCAATCAGACTTTAAGAACTTGCTCTCGGCATTCAGAAGAAAGCATCACGGGGCACATATAAGAAGGGGTTCATTTAGACTTAAAGCAAAAAACTTAGGTAATGAAGGCTACTAAAAGGAAGGCAACCCAAGATTTATAAATGCTTCTTTGCTTTACGTTATTTAAGTCAAAGACACATTTTTTTTAAAAGAGAGCAATAAAATAGTGACATAATGGGTTACTTTAAGAGCCACTATCCTAGCGCCTGCCTTGATGGACACAAGTCAACCGGCAGGCTCTTTCATTTGTTCTGAAATGTTAATTTTAAAGAGTAGGTCCAAATCATATCTCCTCAAGTTGCCATCAAGAACTGGTACTCATCAAAGGCAAGCTCCTGGCACCAAGATGCCCAGAGGGAAGTAGGAGGAAACAGTATTTCAGAGGTGATCTTCAAGAGGCACGGCAGCCTTTAGGTTTCGTCTCTAAATCTCTGTACACGTTTATCAATTGCCATCCATGGCATGAACTTAGACTACTAAGTTTTATATTTACATTTAGATACATATTTGTGTGTGTGTGTGTGTGTGTGTGTGTGTGTGTATTCCCTTCCCTGTGGTCACTGACACATACTGACGCAAAAGCTCAATCTAAAAGACGCCCTTATTCAACAAGATACAAACACAGCTCTTCAATAGAGTCTGTTGAACATTGACTAGGAGAGAGAGTCACTTAATAGGAAGTTGCCAGCTTCTCCCTGTCGCTGCCTTACCTGTAATACACCCCAATATGCCCCTCTTCTATCTTGTGCACAGCTGAGAAGAGAGAGGCACAAAAGAAACTGGCAGCCACGGCCACAACTGCTCCCAACTGGGCCATCAGGGAACGGTTACCCTGGGGAAAAAGATAGAGGAAAACATGTGCGGTCTGACTGAGGCGGGCAGGGGGCCTCTAGATCTACAACTCTATTCATCCTTGTTCTCAGCCAACACTCCCGTTCCTTAACTGTGGAATTACATCCCCCACCGCCTCCAAGAGGCGGTGGCTCCAGACACAGCCGTGGCCCAAGGGAGAACCCGTGCCAACTGGGCAGCGTTCAGAACACAGCCTTCTCTTCCTGTGAACAGGAAAGTGCTGTCACTGGAGCCACTCATATTAGTAAAAGGGAAGAGAGGCAGCTGCAGTCATGTTGGCCCAAATTACAGAGGATGTCAAACGACAGGCAGTTGTGGCCATGTAATTCTGGTCAGAGCCTCCCAGTCCTAATTGCCTGCCATTTCGAAGGAAACCATTATTTACTTCTTTCAGATGCTGGAGCGACAGAGACAGCATGCGAGCAGAGTTCCACGGCGGGATTCTCTGGCCTCTCATCCACCTTTCCCGTTATTCCTTCGTTCCTAAACGACTCAGGGATCTGAGCAACACTGAAGCCACACTCCCTCCCTTATGCTTGACTGGCTCTTTGCATCTGCCAGGTTCCCCGAGTCCATGGGTAGGAGAAAGGTGGTTCCCCAAGCTTGGAAGGCTCTAGGCTCCTGGGTCCGACTGCATTCAGGCACCAGGACGCGAAAGAGTTGGCACCCAGAGACTCATTCCCTGAACACTGAATGATTTGGAAAAACTACCGTAACTGACAGTGAGGTTCCCAGTCGGGCGTGCCTGGGCCCCCCGGCGCAGGGCGCGGATTCTGCCTCCCGGGTCTAACGCAACCCGGGCGCAGACGTCTGCGAGGCGCTTATTTTACCGTGCGGCCTCCAGCTACCCATCAGCAGCTGCGTCCTTTCTGCAAAAGCCCTTCCCTCCCCGAAGTCACCGCCTCCCCACCTCGCGCTCCTTCCCTGCCCTCTTCTGAGAGAGGGTTGAGAGTCCCAGGAGCCTCGGGTCGGGCTGGAGGCTCCAAGAGCCTCTGCTCGGTCCCGGCCGGGAGCTCGCGAGGAAGAGACGGGACAGAAAGGGGTGGCTTCCCCTTCTCCTGAGGGAGAGAGGATGCCGTGGCGGGGCCCCGGGAGAACCGCTGATCAGCTGCGGCCCGGAGCCACAACGAGGCCCAGCGCGCGCACTAAGGGGCGGGGGCCGCGTACCAGGCTGTCCCTCCAGGCGCTCCGTACTCGTCCGAACTCCAGTGCAACCGCAGAAACCGCCACACCCCTCAGCACGCTGCTTCCTTCCGGGCCCGTCGCTTCGATGACGCCATTAGTTCACGCGAGAAGATCACACCCCTCTCTCCTCCCTAGGTCTCCGGCCCCGCCCCCGCGCTCCGAACGCTCGGTGTCCGCGGTTGGCCGCCAGGGGGCGCCCGAGACTAGTTCTGGGCGATCGGGACCATGTTCTGGGATTTCCGGGGTGGGGGTGGGGGTGGTGCGGGCGCCTGGAGAGTGACCCGGGGGACGACCCGAGTGGCTGCGGCTGCTGGGACCGAGGTGTCCCTCTCCGAGGTTTTGACTCTGGAGTTTGCTCCGGATTTCCCTCTGCATTAGGCGAAGCCTGTTTTTTTTTTTTTTTGTTTGTTTGTTTTTTGGAGCAGGTACCGCCGAGTTGCCACCGTTCCAGCCTTCTGCTCCGCTTTCCTGTAGCTCCGCTGAATGAAACACATCCTTTAAATGAGCAGATTAGCACCATTACGTCGCTAATCAAGAGTCCCTACTTTGAATTGCCCTTTATGCTTTTCTAGGAGCTTTGGCCTTTGAGGTCCCCACAGCACCATAAAGTAGATTAAGAAGGAATTATCTCAATTTGAGTGAACAAAATTTAGGTTCAGTGAGGTGGAGGGTAGCAGTGCATGAAAGCCTGCTTTGAACTGTTTTAACGTAGGGAGTTTAACTCCTGCCGCCGCGCACAGGGCAAGGTGCATATCAGCATCCCTCGCCTAGACTGTAAGTTCCCTGAGGCCGGGGACTGCGCCTTCCCTCAACATCCCGGGCGCTCAGGTGCTCAGTAACAGGCGGAAGGCACAGAGGAACCAGGCCCAGCATCCAGGCTTTGTGTCTCCCAGACTGCAGCCTTCACGGGGCGGCGGCATCACACTGAAGTTTTGTTCACAGAAGAGAAAGAGTCCACTTAATTACATCCTTCACTCCATGGAACGCTTTTACACTGGGCAGACGGCAAGCTGGTGGTGGCAGATAGATTTAGGACGCAGGAAAAGGAAAGTGTAGATTTTCCAGGCATGGCTGTTTGGGACTGGCCCATTTCCAACCCCCTCCGCCGCCTCCTGGGGGTTTGCTCTGCATGACTTTCTTCTGGGATATTTCATGATATGTTAAGGCCACAAGTGGGCTGCATGGTGCTGCCTGGGGGCTCTGTTCCCACCTGCGTAGATAAGGGTCTCTCCTCTCCCCACCCTGTTACTGCAAATTCCTCCCCACCTTCCCGCCCCAACACACGCGTGTGTGCACACACTTGGCCAATTTCCTGATTGATTATATAAGAACTTAAGAGCTTTTCTTTCCATGTTCAGTGGTAGAACTTGGCCCAGCATACTTAATGAATATTTCTTTAATAGTTCACTAAAGAAGTGTTTATTTAATAGTTGAGTGAATGAATAAGAGAAATGGAAGTATTGGGGTTTATCAGCCGAAGGAATGGGGCTTCGGGTGCAGATAAAGGACTTAAATTAGTTGTAATTTAAGAATTTCCTGACTACTTTGGAATGAACTATGAGGCAAGCTGTGGGATTTTGTTCTCAGGAGGCTTTTAAAAAAAAATTTTTTTTTAACCAGGCCTGAGTTTAACTATGGCCCTGTCTAGAGGCAGGGGGTGGTAGACGACGATCTAACATTTCTGAAAATCACTTCCTTAAGAGACCCTTGATTTTTATGACTCAATATCCAAAATTACCAAAGAAGTAAGTCTATGATGATTTGTTTAACAGAATTGTTTAAGAATCCATTAAAAAAAACTTATGGAGTAGTGGTTAAGTGTAGATATTCTAGTTAGACTGATTAGATTTAAATCCTGGGCCACCTCCTCTCCCTCGGCCTTTTATTAGCTGTGTGACCTTGGGAAAATGACTTTATTCTTAGCTCGGTTTCTTCATCTGTAAAATGCAGGTAATGGTATGAACCTCATAGGACTGTTGTAAAGATTCAATGACAAACCAAGAAAAGCACATATGACAATATTTGGCAAACTTTGAATGTTCAATAAATATTAGCTATTGCTGTTTTAAATAGCAAATTTCCTTAGCGTGTTCTTGCCTGTTTGTGGATTCAGATTATTACTATCCCAGAAGAAGAGAGAAGGCTAGGCTTTAAGTCATGTAGAATTGAGTAATAACCAAATAAAGGCTTATCAAAAGAAGCGATAAGACTCCGAAGTTATACCTCCATAGATATTCACAGTACGGATTTCATAAAGTGTTCTTGAATGCTTTCCATGTAACAGACCCTGTGCCTTTCTCATTCTATATAATCTTCAGCTCAGCCCTTGAGTTCAGCTCATTTTACAGGAGGAAGTTAAAGCTTAGAGACGTTAAGGGATGGCCCAAGATCATAAAGCTTGTAAGTTGCCCAGGCAGAATTCAAATGATCTCAAGTCTATTTCTTCACTATAGTAAATGAATCAGAAGATAATGATTCAACTCAAGACACACACACACACGCACGCACGCACGCACACACACACACACACCTCATTTATTTTACATGTAACCTTTCAGGAATGTAGATCAGTGGTCAGAAATTGCAACACTCTAAATTGGGCTTGCTCATTTTGCAGTTGGAGGCTGAAGTGGGATTTTAAAAAAATACTCCAGCCACAGCCACCCACATTTCCCGATCTCTGCATTGCTCTTTTGTCCACCAGCAAGCTAACATGCCTGTGGGGATTGCCACTCTAACCATGGAAGAGACCCCGTCTTTCACAGAGTCCTTTTCATCAGTAACCAGGTTAGCCCCAAAGGAACCAGGCAACTCTTAAAATCTTTGGCTTCAAAACATTTATATCACAACAGTGGAAGTTGCTAGAAAAAAATTTTGTTTGACTTTGATTTTTCTTCTTTACTTAAAGCCCTAAACAGAGCATAGAGGTCATCTTTCAGGACATTTGATTCCAGTAAGATTCTGGTGAGCTTGGGGGAAGAGGAATGAGGAACTATATCCTTAAATATTAAAATTTTTTTTGCTCTTTTATTTTTTAAAATAGCCTTAAATATTAAAAGGATTTTTTTGCTTTTATTTTAAAAAATCTTAGCCATTCCTTAATTTTATTTATTATTATTATTTTTTAATGGAGGTACTGGGGATTGAACTCAAGACTTCATGCATGCTAAGCACGTGCTCTACCACTGAGCTATACCCCATTCCCTATATCCTTAGTTATGAAGAGATTTACTCAGAAGTTTTTCAGCTGGCAAACCCAGGATCGGTGCCTTCTAATAACAAAAGGGTATTTGCTTGAGGCTAATGATGTTCCTTCAAGGGAGTTCTGTAAAGGGATCAAAGAGGAATCATGGGAAAAAAAATTGAGTTGGAAATCAGTTGGAAGTCACCTAGAGATCATTTCATAATTATATGTTTTTACAGCTTTATTGAGGCATAATTGACATACAATTAAGTGCAGATGAAGTGTTCAATTTGATAAGTTTTGACGTACGTATATTCCTGTAAAACCGTGGCTACAATCAAGATAATGAACATGTGCATCACGCCCCCAAATTTCCTCGTGCCCCTTTGTAATCTCTCCCTCCCACCCCTCTCCATGACCCCCACCCCCTAATTCTCAAGCAGCAACAGCTGGTCTCTTGTCGTTCTAGCTTAGTTTGCATTTGAAGAATTTATATAAATAGGATCCTACACTATGCACTCTTTTTTGTGGAGGGGGTTGTCTGGCTTTTTTTTTAACCCAGAATAATTATTTGGGGAGTCATCTATGTTGTTAAATAGATCAATAGTCCATTCCTCTTCGTTGGTGTGTAATATTCCATTGCACAGTTATACGTGTTTACCCACCCAGCTGTTGATGGACAGAGACAGTGTAGCCTGTGATTTTAATCCAGTCTGTTTATTTCACTCATGGAGAAACAGAGGGCAAAGGGAAGGAAGTCTCCAGAGAAGAGGGGCTTGATCAAGGTCCACAGTGAATTTGGGAAATGATGAGGAAACAGCCAGCTACCCTGAGAAATTATGCAAGGAGCTCGGGTGTGTGAGGTGTGGCTTGGCTTGTTTTGCCTGGGATGCCCCTTCATTTGACATCGCTGAATCCATAATAATATTAGGAATTAAAAAAAAAGGTGGTATGGCATTTGGTCTGCAAATATTGATCCATACATCCCTGTACGTCTCAGATAGACTCCTTTTGGTCATACCTTCCTGGTTAAAGATTAAAAGTGCTTTGAGTTACATTAGTTCATTTGATCCTCATAATAATCCATGACCCATTTTACAGATGAGGACATGCAAGTTAGGTGGTTAGGTTACTTCTTCAAGGTCACGGGCAGGTCCTCTGTGTGTGAATGCAATGAACGTTCCCCCCTCTATTTGTGAATTCGGAAAATTTCAGTGTACCAGGACAGAAATTTAGTTCAATTCAGTAAACATTTATTGAACATCTACTTGCTATAAACCATAGTCCTAAGTGATGAAAGCATAGAATGGGTGGGGAGACCACTTGTACC